ATATATATATAAATCAAATATATTACATTTATATATAATATATATACTATATATATAATTTAGTTTTACATTAATTTAGAATAGTTTAACACTTAGTTAGAATAGTTTAACGCTTTTTAATTACTTGACAAAAAGGCCTTATGTTGACATTTGTGTTAAATGAAGAACCTCTCTTTTCCTAGAACATTCTCAAGTTAAAATGCTGTATAGGAATTATTGGAGGAAAACCCAAGCATTCCCTGTTTTTTATTGGTTTTCAAGGTATGTGTCTATTAAGAGCTATGTTTTGATTGGTTACTGCGTTCCTGTCCGCTCTCAGATTGACCGCTCTCTGTCTTCCAGACGAGCAGCTATTGTATCTAGACCCACACTACTGTCAGCCAGTGGTGGACGTCACCCAAGGCAACTTCTCTCTGGAGGTGAGATGGAAAGCAACATTACATTTGCATCAGAAGACATTTTCATTTTGAAGTTTTGACCATGTGTGAGGAACTGAAGCTGCATTGGTCTTTTTCTCTCGTAGTCTTTTCACTGTAACTCGCCTAGGAAGATGAACTTTAGTCGTATGGATCCCAGCTGCACCATCGGATTCTACGCGCAGACTAAGAGAGACTTTGAGTCTTTGTGCTCAGCGGTCAGTGAAGTGAGTGTCTTGTTTGAATCAATAAGATATATGTTTCTTGGAATAAAACATTTGAAATTTGTCTTTGTTCACTGAATATACAATTAGCGAATTAATGGCGCAATTTAAATTTTTGATACTTCGGAATGAATGCATAAATTGTCATGCCATTTCGGAATGAATGCATAAATATCAAGAAGCTGAAATAATTTTTTGTTCTTTTTCAGGCTTTGTCATCCTCTAAAGAGAAGTATCCCATCTTTACATTTGTAGAGGGCAGGGGACAGAACTATGGACTGGAGGGGCAGAGCGGGGGGTCCATGGACGGTCCTGCAAACATTTTCTCATGCAACAGAATGAGCAGGAACAGTAAGAGAGGAAGCACAGATGAGTTTGTGCTCCTGTGAGGAGCGTATCGCATGTAACACAGACCCTACCCCAGTGATGCTGTACCCAACATCATGAAGCTGCTGTTACTCACGGCTGTGCACTGCAAAATATAAAGCAAACCTGGCATTGAGATTCTCAAGAAAACCTGTCCGAGTCATATTTCACCCCAGAACCAAAGGAAAACAAAGAAATTATATTTTGCATAAAGAAAACTTTGCATGTCATATGCAAACTCTGTCATATTTTCATGACAGTTAAGTACATTTGGCATTACGTTATCATTAACGTAATGCCAAAAACCTCTCGTTCTCCATACTGTAATGAAAAAAGGCTACATTATTTAAATTAAAAAGTGTTTTTTGCACTGCCTTTAGTTTATTTAATTTGTAAAAATTGTTCATTTTGATTATTGCATTACAATTTAAGCATGTTTTTGCATTACATTAATGAGAATTTTGAGAGGATATATACTTAATTATCAATGTGATAATTCTGGGAATAATTCTAAAAATAAGGTTAGTTTTCTTAATGCATAATATACTTTCGGGGTGCATTTCTTTGGTAAACTGCTCCTTAAATGTGGCATTTGTTCATGAATGGATGAGGAGCATTTTCTATTATTGCAATTTTTCAACTGATTCATCCACATTAAAGGGAAAGTTCACCCAAAAATAAAAATTTTATGAAAATGTACTTACTCTCAGGCCAATCAAGATGTAGATGAGTATGTTTCTTCATAGGAACAGATTTGGAGGAATTTATCATTGCATCACTTGCTCACCAGTGGATCCTCTGCAGTGAATGGGTGCCGTCAGAATGAGAGTCCAAACAGCTGATAAAAACATCACAATAATCCACAAGTAATCCACACCACTCCAGTCCATCAGTTAACATCTAGTGAAGTGAAAAGCTGCGTGTTTGTAAGAAACAAATCCATCATTAAGACATTTTAACTTTAAACTGTTGCTTCTGGCCAAAATACGTGCCCATAATCTACCATTTTTTTTGCTTACTCCAGTGAAAAAGTTGCTTTGTCATGCAGCTTTTCACTTTACAATATGTTAATTGATGGACTGGAGTGGTGTGGATTATTGTGATATTTTTCTCAGCTGTTTGGACTCTCATTCTGACAGCACCCATTCACTGCAGAGGATCCACTGCTGAGCAAGTGATGTGATGCTAAAATTCTCCAAATCTGTTCCAATGAAGAGGCCTGATTGAATGGCCTGAGAGTGAGTCCGTTTTCAGCTAATTTTCATTTTTGGATGAGCTATTCCTTTAACGTGTATATAAACGCATACAAACATTTTGTCTCATACACTGAACACATGATCCTGCTGTTGTGTTGCTGTCTTTAAGAAGGTAAACGGGTACTCTTAAGTGTTTTTTTTTTCTTTTTTTCTGAGACCGTAATTATGACAATGAGTAAACCTCCTTGTTGCTGTATGATATGGCTGGTTTTCTAAGTTGTTAAATTGTAAATCTCTCAGCTTGTGTGCTTGAACCGAGTGTGTTTTTGTTTTAAATCATTGTGCTTCATTTGTCACCAGTTTACAGCTTTCTTTTATTTAATTGTATCTTTTATGGGGAATCACAGCCGTAGTACCTCCTCAAGCTCTGGAAGATGTGTGGCATTGAGTTTGATGCTGGAAGCTGTCTGAATATTTGATGTGTGATTTGCTTTTGCTTGTTCAGGTCAACAAAATTAGCTGTTACTGTTTCATTCTTATTTAAGCTGTTAATTTTATTTTTACAACTTGTATTTTTGAACGTTCTGCTGTGAAAGCTGAACTGCTGTCACTCTTTGAACAATCGTTTTTTGAATAATTGTAGATTTTTCAGTGTGTATCTATTGTCTTTTACATTTTGAACTCTTTCCTGGACATGGGACCAGTGAACAAGAGATTATGAGATTATACTTTTGTTTGTTTTGGACTTTTTTCAGAATTGAAAGATGGAAATGATCAATTAAATGTAAGAGAGAAGTAAATTAGTTATAATGCCTCAGTTGTCCTCACTGAGTATATGATTTTAAAATAACTTCAAGTATTTTCCAAACAACAGTTTCTGAACTGATGTATTTGAGTGCATCTTGGTACCATTGAACAGGTCAGCTACTGTCCTGTTTGCTTTTAATTTTTGTCTGTAATTTTATCTAAAGTTTGTCAAAATTAGAACAAAAAAAATATGAAATTAGTGAGATATATATGTAATTTATTTATTTATGTTTTTACCTGAACTGTCACCTGCACTTAAAATACTTTAAAAAGTCGTTTCCAAGTAGTCTGTTCTCTAATGCTAAACAGCCCATATAATTTTATGTCTTTGATTTTTAAGATCGTTTTGTTCATTGTGTATAATATTCTGGGTCCTGAAATAATACCAGTTGAAAACCTCTATCCGTTGAAGGTGGGTATTTTAGGTAATTTTTTATTTATAATTAGTATAAAAAGCTTTTATTTTGTAGCTGTACATATGCTTTTGTTTTGAAGCGTCGTGGAGGACTTTTATTTTGAAGAGGTGTGAAGGGCAGGGCGCTGACTTCCGCCTGGCCGAAGACAGCAGCGGCAGCGGCGGCGGCGGAGCTGAGATCAGGGCGGATTCACCGAGTCTGTAGAAACATGGACAGTCAAGGCAGAAAAGTGGTGGTGTGTGACAACGGGACCGGGGTGAGTGTGACTGCGGACCTCATACGGCTCGGTCCAGTCTGAATTATGTTTTTTTCGCGGCTGTGTGTGATTTAAAGACGGCTTGCCGGAGAAAGATGCAGCGGAACAGGAAGTGAACTGATAGTACCTTATTTTACACAGAGATTATCTGTGATTTACACTCGACCTGTAATGTGGAAAAAAGCTCTGATCGGATGCACGGAAATCATAGATCGGGCCGGATTATAAATGCTTTGCATGTGGATGTTTTGTAGGAGCTTTGCGAATGTATTGACACGATTGATACTTAACTTACACACATTTTCATGGATATTTGAATGAGGTCGCAGTGTGAGCATGCATTATTTATGAAACTACATATTTATGCACATTTTTTTTTAATCGATGCATGTGTGTTTGTGAAAGTAAAAGATAAAGAAAAGATAAAGATGATCTCAAACTCACTTCCGAGTTTGTAACCTCACATCTGGCCGAGAGAGGAAGTGACATACGAGACAAACACCTTCCGTCATCATTCTCTCTCTGTCTGAGGGGACATGTTTCTGGTAAAGAATACTGTGGTACATATGCTGCAATACCATGGTATTAGCATAATACATGTTCAGAAAAACATGATATCGCCGTGATAAATGTCCAGAACACTATGGTAACTGATTAAAATTGTGCTTATAATCCGGAATAAGTGTACACAAAATTGTCTACTTATATTATTAAAATTACCCTGATACCTTCGAAAATGCACAAATAATATGAATTTATTTTAAACTGGAAAACACTAATATTGGGCCCTTCCTGTTAAAACTACTAAAGCTTCTTGATCGTTTGCTTTTTCTTTTCTTTTTTTCCCCTTCATTTTTCATTTAATGGCTAGCGATCTGTCTGTCTTTCTTTCTTTTTTTTTTTTTACAGTTTTAGTAATTGTATTAATTTTTAAATTAATTAATCTAAATTAATTTATTTTTGTTAGTTGCAAGGCAACATTTATTTTTTTCAGTCTGATTGGTCATATTTTTAATAACTAGTGTTCTGTCTTTCTGTCTTAATATTTTGAGTTTTTTTTGTTATATATTTTCAGATTTCATTTATTTTTCATTTACTTTCATCTAAGTTTATGTGCTTTTGTCTTTTTTTTTTTTTTTTTTTTTTTTTTTTTTTATTTTTTTTTAAATTTTTGCAGCTTGACATTGTTTTTCTCCAATCATTGATTC